GGTGGGGAGGGGGCTTTTCCCAGTGATGCTGTGTTCTGGGCACTCGCCACCTCCCACAAGGCACTTTTAGGTCCGGTCCGCATGTTCCCACAGCGCAGCAGCCAAATCTTCCCGTGCGCACTTCTGCAAACTTGGGGTTGTTACTTCATAAAAGTCATTGCCGGTGACAGAAACTTTAGTTGCCTTGGGAATCTGGTTCCCCAGGCCCCAGTGGGTCACAAAACATAACTGGAAACTAGGGGGTGCGGGGAGCCTAGAAGCTGGGCAGGGACAGCAGCCAGGCTGCTCCAAGGCCAGGACAGAGCAGCCGCCTCTGCCTGCGCGGATCAAGCCGGAGGCAAGGGGCAGTCGCCATCTGCCTGGAGCCCAGGGAGGCGTTAAGAAGGCCGGATCTTACAGAGATCTTACAGAGATTTGCGGAACCTGGGGGAGGAAGATTTTACTTGAAGCTTTCCTGCAAGGGAGAATTAGGGCTCTGTCACTGCGAAATCTACACCCCTGGAGTAAGTCCCTTTCCCGAAGCAGCGTGAATAAGTGCTGCGGCTTTCTCTCCCTCCCGTGGTGACTCTTGCTGGCACTTGCTTGCTCAGTAGCACTTAGGGAACTTGTATCCAACAAAAAGCAGATGCTGTCTTGTTTTAGAGCCCCCGGGGCGGGGCGGGGTTCAGAATGACACACACCGGCACACTTCTCCAAACGCTGCCGTCCAAACCTTGGGTTAGTTTTGGGCTGAGGCTAGGGCAGCCGTCTCCCTGGGCCTGGGGAGATGGCTTGGCACAAGCCCACGGCTGCCCCTGACGCCCGGGCCCCAGTCACCGACTCCGAGGGGGAGGGCCGACTCTGCTGGACACTTGCCTGGCAGGCTGTGTGGTCTGTTCACGCGCCTGTGGGCTTATAATTGAGCAACCTGCGTCCTGCTGCAGTCGCTTCCCCTCGTACATTTCAGTATTTCCTGCGAATATTCCCACTCATGGCCACTCCCAAAATCTTTTCAAAAACGCCTCTTTGGGGAGAAATAGTGGGTTTCCACTCCTTGCTATGGAAGCCTAAAACTGTAACCATAGTTTCATAAAGGGCAGCCATTCACATCTTCGGTAAATATTTACTGACAGAGATTATATTCCGATCTTGGTGCTCGGAACACACATGCAAACAAACACAGCCCCTCCCTTCTGATTCCACGGCTGCGGTCCAGCAGTCACTTGAATGTTTGTATCCTCTGAGCTTAGGGCCTCTAGGCAGCACCACGCGTCAGAGGTTGACGGAGCAAAGCCTGAACCCCCGTGTGTCCCACACCTACTGCTGAACGTGAACATGAACATGGCTCCTGAGTCTCGGTACCCTCCTGCAAGGTGGCGCAACTTGGCCCCCCTTGTCTTGGCGAGTTGTCGGTCAGATGAAAGGAGACACACAGGTCCCTCTGGGACGGGGTCCGGCAGGTCAGAAGTGACAGTTAATCGTGACTATTGGATGGGCGGGGATGTAGGCCTGTCCACAGCAGCTACATCTTGTCTCAACTTGCCCTCAACCCCACACACGTTCTTACAGCCCAGTCATCTGGTTCCAGACTCCGGGAAGGAGCTCAACAGCTTGGTGTTCCCTTCCAGCTAGCTGTCACTAGGAGCAGAGCAGCTGCGGAGCAGCCAGTCATCCTCAGAGGCTCTGCGCTGCCTGAACTTATTGTTTCCACAGAGGGTCTTAAAAGGACCTTAAAGCTCAACAAGCAATAAAACTAACACTCGGTGGGGAAATTTCACTGCACCATTCAGCAGGCAGCCCTAATCCACACCACAGTTCCTCAGACCCAGGCTCTGGCTCATTCCATGAGGACGTCCCCAGGAGGAGCCCTCCCCGGGGGCGCAGCGGGTCGGAGCGCAGCACTGGGAAGCTTAAGCCACCTTCAACATGAGTTCCATCCCGCCCCAGAGGTGACCCCAGGGCGCGGCAGACCTCTCCTGACCCTCCCGCTGCTCCCCTCAGCAGTGGACTTCGTCCATCTGCCTGTTCTGCTCCCCGCTCTGTCTCTGGTGAAGCCTCTCATCCTCTGCATCTCTGGCCTGTACCCTTTCCCCAGGAAAACAAGAAAAATCAAACTCCTATTCTGTCTGTTAGCAGTAATAACCTGGGGTTGGCTATATCTGAGGACGGAAACTTTTTTTTCTTATATTTGCTTACAGGGCACCTATTTTTAAAAAGAGAAAACATTTATTTACATAAAGCCAAAGTCCCCTTAATCACTACTTCATTAGACTCTCTGTGCAGTGTGCTGTAGGCAGAGTGCTGCAAATCCCTTACACACACACAAAACGTTGTTTTTGAGGTCTACTGTCCATATCTTTCCAGTTAATTCCTTGTAACTGTTACTTGCACAGATACTCCCTGTTATCTCTCGGAGGCACTGTCCACTGTTTCCCCTGGAAGGCAGCTTAAGCTGGCTGTATTTCCCAGGCATCAATTCATATAAACGCGAGGCAGTGAGCACTCCTACCTGCCTATGTCTGTTTCCAGTGAATTTCCACCTCAGGTTTCTGAAACTCTGGACTTTTAGTACTGAGGATACATCACAATTGTAAGCAGAAAGTTTTACAGAAACATCCTTTCGTAATTCCTTTTTTGTCAACTAGCTCTTTAGTTCCTGAGCTTTGTGATCAAGAGACCAAAAATAGAGACACAACTTAGTCATCCTCAACTTTCATTCAACTTTATACAACTGAGCTCACGCTTCAGGAAACCAGCTACAGCTGCACTGGCGCCCACAGCAACTGGAGTTACCTCATGGCTCTCTCCTTAGCGCCTGGACACGGTTATTCAGCTCTTAATTAAGGCTTCAGTAAAGATGAAAGCAGAGCCAGGAGTCAGGGCTTGCTTAGGGCTGGAAGGGGAGGACGCCACTTCCCTCACAGCATGCCTGTGATAGAGAGGGGGGTTTTCACCCCATTTCACAGAGTGGCAGTGAAGCAAGAGCTGAGCAACTACCACTTCCCCCACTTTCCTGCCTCATTTTCTCTACAGCTTGATGGACAGACACTCCTGTGTCTGTCTCCGCCTTCCAGGTCACAAACTTCCTTGTTTTCTTTTTTTCCTTTGGAACTGAGTTTGCTCAGGAAATGTCTGTTGAATGAATGAACCTATCCAAGTTGATAACTGTGAGAGGCTGGCAGTCTTGAACTAGGAGACAGCGGCTGATACTATTCTCATCAGTACTAATATTCTCACCCTTGCTAACCACTACAAATTGGTGAGGGTGGAGGTGAAAGTATTAGCCGCCATCTAAAGGGACTAAGTGCTGAAACCAGTCACAGTCCCTTGAGTTTTTCTTTGAATTGTCTTTCTCCAGATCTTAGTCACTCGCCAAGTTAAGGAAGGCAAAAAGAATGAAAAAAAGTTTCCTTGACAGAGGTGTGTCTAGAAACTCACCAAGGAAAAATGCTGGTTTTCAGTGGTCACTATCAGTTCCCCCCAGGGGTCCCTGCTGCTGGGGGAAAGGGAGAAGAATTTGCCTTAAATCTTCCTAAGCAACTGAGAGCTTTATTCTGCCCTGTGGCACCATCCAGAGCAAGAAGAGGCAGGAGGAGCGCAGGAAGTTGAACCAAATCACCTCACTGTAATTCTTTTGGGTTGAGAAACAGGTGGGAAGGAGAATACCTACTGCCTCCCTCTCATTCATGTGAGACATGACAAGCTGGCAGTGCAACATTTCCCTACCCAACACCCCCCAGTGCCCTCAGGTGAGGAAATCTAGTGCCTACATAAGCAATCTCTAAGCTTATCCAAACACCAGCTTTTAGACACAGAATGGCAATTCATGGAATGACAAGGAACTATGAACCTCCCTCCCCTGGCCCCTGAGGGAGGTGTCCTGTTCTACAGGACCTATTTTGTGCCTGGTCAGGGATTCAAAAGTTTAGTAATTTTTTAAAAAAGAATTATGTATGCATACAAGAAGAGGGTACAGGACAGAGCTGTGGGGGGCGGGAGAGAAGTGAGAGGACTCACCAGAGACAGAGTGGGGAGCAAAACAGGCAGATAGTCTGAAATCCACTGCTGAGGGGAGCAGTGGCGAGACAGGAACAAGAGAGGTCTGCTGTGCCATGTGGGTCAGCTCCCTGGCCAGGATGAAGCTGCAGTGGCTGCGGAGAGCTTCACAGTGCCCCTTGTGCCACCAGGGAGGCCCTCAAAAGCCTGGTAATTTGTCTTTTTTGCCAGCAGTGTTTGCAAACCCAACACTGAAATGAGCACAAGAAGCTTTATATGGGGCAAGTTGCAGCAAGGTGTAACACCGGAGAAGACTTGAAAAGGGGAAGATCTGAATGTACGACCTAGATAATCCAGCTGCGCGGGTTAATGAGGCAGAACTTCAGAACAGTAAGTGCTAAAATCTTGTTTGTGCAAGAACCCCCCTCCCCGTGTGGAAGCACTTCCTCCCGGTGCCCGACACACAAGCGTGCTCTGAAGCTCGCACACCTACCCGTACCAAACAGTGCGCTTGGAGGGAGGGCAGTGGGGTGTGTGGGAGCATGTGCATACTGTGAGCAAGAAGTGTTACTCTTAGGATCTCAGAAAATCTGGTAAAGAAAAACACAGGCAGGGAGCAGTTTACTCCCGAGACTGCGCCATGGACCAGCTCCAGGTCCCATCTGCCTCAGTTCCCCGCCACCATGTGAGCACAGAGGAGGAAAAGCCTCATTAGATCTGTGGTCACACAGGCTGGGGCCGGTCACTCTCCCTTCAGAGTGCTGCTGGACTTCCACGCACAAACTCCTCCGGGGCAGCCTACCAGGGGGCCACAGCCTGCAGGGCTGGTGCTGTGCAAACGCCCGTCCGTTCCACACTGCTTTGGTTCCCTGGTAAACGACCATCTGTTGCACTCCTTAAAATTTGGCAGTGGCCCCTTTACCCTGTGGCGCAGGAGCGGACCCCTGTCACAGCGGTCCATGAGGGGCCACCTCCACCCACCGCATTCTAAGTCAGTGACCCTTTATCCCACCAGGGTGGCATCAAGAGCACCACGGGCATTCGGGTCAGCAGCTTCCTCTCGAGTGCAGACACCAACTCCCCCCTCACCCCCACGCCCCCTCCCCCACTGGCTTTGTGACTGTCTGTCCATCTGGTGGAGTGGAGACAGGCTCGCACCTATTAAACAGGTGACGGGAGGACCCCCGGCCTGAGGACATGCACAGAACGGGACTGCAGCCCCGTCACACAGGCACCCTCGCCCGGGGTGCACGCTCGCCCGGGGTGCACGCTCGCCCGGGGTGCACGCTCGCCCGGGGTGCACCCTCTGGCAGCCTCTCCACCGCGCAGACCGCCTGGCGCTCCAGGGGGGCAGCGGCTCCCTGCTGTGCGATGCCGCCAGGACGGGCTTCCCCGGGCAGAGAATCCCGGCGCTTCCCCAACTCAAAGATTCAAATATTCCAAAGTCCTGGCTGAGCAGACGTCGCCCACTGAGCTTCAGCTAGTGCCCGTCTTTGGTTGGGGCAAAGCATGCCAGCTCCTTGGGAGGGCGCAGGCGCCACTGGGGACTGAGCCCCACCCCCACCCCAAGTTCCCACCAGTGGCAACAGCCCGAGCCTGGGGGACGGATGACCCTTCACTACAAGTCCTCCTTTCCTCACTTTTCCTCTCGGACTTGTTGGACGACGGCAGGTGTCGGGGGTAAAAGATGCGCAAGGAACGGGCAGAAAAGCTGTTAAGGGGCTCGGGAGGACGCGTCCTCCCCGGTGAGGACCTCGCGCAGGCACAGGGGCGACCGGAGGCCGAAAGCCAAGTGCGCGGGGGTGGGGCGCGAAGCCGGACGCCGGGCGGACGCGGCCAAAGTCGCGGTTGGACAATGGAGCGCGGCGGGGCCCGGACGCCCCTGGCAGCGCCCCGGGCACACTGGGCCCCCAGCAGCCCCGTTGCCCGCCCCGCGGGCTCCAGCCTCCGAGAACAAAGCGCGGGCGGCGGCCTCACCTGGTTGTAGAAGACCTCGGGGTGCGGCTCAGGGGACGGGACGGCCTGCGCGGCCGCGGCCGACAGCGCGCGGCGGCTCCAGGGGGCGGGAGGGGCTGAGCACCTCGGGGTGCGGCTCAGGTACTCTGCGCGGGTGGCGGTGCCCACGGGCCTGAGGCCGCCTGGACGCCCGTCTG